TATATATATATGTCAGTAGTTTAGCTGAAATAACCTGTGGTTTGAGCGGGGCATTTGGCTGATTAGCTGACGGGTAGTTTGAAAGAGAAGTCAAACCACTCCAACCCGGCTATCCGCTTTGTCACCCGGGCTGCAAATGATGTGCACCCTTTGAGAGAGAACCCAGTAAACTGAAGTATACTAAACCCTGACAATTATCTACATCAACAAAAAGTATGACAAATAAACACAAACACCTCAAGATCACAGCACTGGTGATATATTCATATTTTTTTCCCACAGAAACTCACTCCATAATTGCTTAAACATCCCTTTAAACTTTTGTCCTTGTCAAAAGTGTGGAGTGACCTGAGGAGCTCAGATGTGCTGTTGGAAATATGTTGGCTAATTTATGACATAATTAAAAGTAATGGCAGCATATTTCAAAATCCCCTCTTCTCTTCAGTTTGCAGCCATCTTGAACTGACAGAGAGGGCCATAATTAAGAGTTCTCCATTTTAGCTTGTTGAAACCCATTTATGCAAACAGTTTAAGTGTGATGTTGACACGTCCAGGCAGACAAACAATTCACWCTTAGAGATGCATGAGCTCATGAAGGCCCAGCAGTATTTAAACAATCGATCTGAATGAACCTGACAGCGCAGGAAGGAGGCACAACCTTCCTCAGAGCCTGGTAGCAGATAGAGACAGCTCTCATTATGGACTCGTTTCATACTTGCTGTTCACACTTRCAGCTCGGAGCAGACTCTCACCACACAGAGAGTGGATCTTTATTTCACTGCACACCCTTYATCGGAACCACGAGGTAACAGCAACCCCTTGTGCACGCAGAGAGAAGTGTCGACTGTGTGTGACCTCAGCAAAGTCAGGATGAAGCRCAGAGGGCCGTGCCGATTGAAGGAGATAATAGGAGAATACATTTGCATCAGTATTTGGTTGAGTGTGTGGCGTTGTGTCAAACTGAAGTTCCATGGATTCCAATATGAAAAGGTGAATTTGTAGTAGGACCAGATCTGAGGGASGTGAAAATGAGCTGATTTGTTCATATATTACCTCCCACACCTACAGACACACGCTCTGTAATTGAATGTCAAACAAAATTGTCTCTTCAAAGGGAACTTTGCCTCGCACACGTCTCAGGAGCTCACATGTCATTCAAGTGATTCACACTGAAGAGGGTGGGGGGTGGGTGGGGGGGGGG